GGCATTGGAACAGGCTGCCCAGGGCAGGGCTGCAGTCACCGTCCCTGCAAGTGTTCACACAGCGTGGAGACGAGGCCTCAGTGCCATGGGTTAGGGGTGGCCTGGGCAGTGCTGGGGTAAGGGTTGGACTGGATGAGCTGAAAGGGCTTTCCCAGCCTGGTTGATTCTGTGATTACAGCTGCCCAAACTGCATCGGTGATTTATTCCCAAAAAGGGATATTTCTGGGGTAGCGCCACTCTACCACGCGCCCTCATGCACGCCGGGTGCCCGTGGCAGAGCATCGCCTTCTCCCAGCACCTCTCACCACTTCCCAAGCTGAGAGCTGGAATCGGGCACAGCGACTCCCGCTCCCGCAGATTGAAAAATTGCTCTGGAATCCTCGGGGAGGAAAGTTGCTAAAAATACATGAGGGCAGGATTCTTGGTAAAAGAAGGAAGGATCTCTGGCAAGAAGCGTGGCCCAAGAGTGCCGGGGAGCACCCAGACATCGGAGCCAGACCCTGACCCTCTGCTCCTTGATGCCGCCTGGACAAGGCTGCAAGTGAGGTCCATGGGAGAGCCAGAACCCAAACTCGTGCCACCAGTGAGTATGGGCTCACTGAGCCAGCACCGTGGCCAACTCACCCAACCAAGAGTGCGGGTAAGAAGCCGGGCAGCGAAAAAGCAGGATCCTACAGCTCCTACCCCAGACCTTTGCTCCCGGTCTACAAAGCACCCGGATCTTCCTGCTAATAAAAACCCGACGCTTGCCTGGGTCGGGGGCTCGCGTGCCTTCGTGCGGGTGTGCTTTGTCCTAAACCCGAATTGCCTAAGCTTGGAAGGGGGGGGGGGGAAGGCAGGAGCTGGCTGCCTCTGGGGGAAGGGCGGGCGGCGAGGAGCTGGCATGGGGATCGCAGCCCATCCTCCACGCACGCCGCGTCTGTAAACTTTGAACATCTTCCGGAGAGAAGTTAGTGGCTATTGTGAACAGCTGGATCTAATTGTGCGAGCAGCGAGGAGGAGACAGTCGTGGGGGGAAAATAATAAGGCTTGGCGCTCCCAGGCAAGGATCCCTGAGCCCGGCCAGCCCGCCTGCCTCCAACCCACCAGCAGGGAAACTGAGGCACGGAGCGGCGCGAGGCTCAGCATCTCCCTGGGTAATGCAAACCTGGCGTGGAGGCATTGCCCTGTGTGTGCCCCATTGCCCCGCGGCTGCTCCCAGCCAATGCAGGGTCACCCCGAACCCCACAGCAGCGTCTTCAGACCCTGGTGCTCGCTCCCGCTGCTCTGGGCACCGCACACATCCCTCCCTCCAGCCGGCTGCTTCCCGCAAGGCTCTGCCCACCACCTAAAATTAGCTCCAGCTCGGCCGGCCCATCCCCGGCCACCCCCCGCAGAAGGAGCTCTGGAGCACACGCTGGGTCCGTCTGATCCCCCCCGGCAGCGAGGGGGAAGGGGATAAACCAGCCTCCTCCATTGCTTGCATCTTGCAAGCCACCTGCGAGCGAGAGATTCCTGGGTTATTTCTTACAGGGTGAAACGCAGCCCTGAAGTCACCTTCTGGCTTGTAAAAGGATGGATGAGGGTGAGATGTGGGCTGGCTTTAGCCAATGGAGACCTGGCACATCTCATGACACAGCCCTGGAAGGCACTGGGCATGCTGGGTTTTGGTGCTGCTGCTGTCTCGTGGCAACAAACGGGATGCTGGGGACATGAGAGCATTATATCCATTTGGGACCAGATGAGGGGACACACTCCAATGGGATCTGCATCACCAGGATAGATGTTCTTCAACAACTGGACACTCATGTTTCTATGGACCCCATCAGCTCTGCCAAAGCAGAGCCCTATACGAACATCATCCCCAGCTGCCACCCCAAGCATGAGACCGTGGGGTTCACAGCTTGTCACCTCCAAAGTTCTCAGCCACATGTGCTCACCACAAACCCTTCAACAACCTGCATGGGGACCCCAAAACAGTGCCCAGTGCCATGATCCACCTACTCCCCAGCACCACGGGTAGGCGAGTGGCCATCCAGCACCACAAGGAGGTTCTGCTGGGCCCCTCACTCTCATTGCACCAAGCGGGGAAAACCAGAGCACCGGGAGTTGCAGCAGCATGTCCAGACCTGCAGCAGGATGCGGCCGCGCGTTATCGCAGAGGGGGGGTGGCTGCCCCTGCCACGTGCCCGCTGCAGGCTGGCACGGGGACGGCCCCACTGCTCACCCCATCATTACCTCCCTCCCTTCCTCCCTCCAAAAAAACATTTCATAAGCCTCCACGTGACGGTGGCAATAGCGAACGCCCGCCCATGCGCGCCGGGAGCCTGCCCCAGCTGCAACACGCAGGTGCCTGGGCACCAACCCCAGGTTACACCTCGGACACGCGGATGAGGAGCTCAGAGCATGGCCTGGCCACCCAGCAAATCCCCTAGGGATGGGAGCTCCTGAAATAAAAGCTATTTGGTTATATCGCATCCAAAGCAGTGGATGTAACACCTCGCAGCCCCGCCAGCCCCTTGCAATTGCTATCTAGAATTTAGTAAGAGGTAAGCACCTAGAGATAGGACACTTTTTGGACAGCATCCGTCCCATTCGGTGATGGGATCCTGACCCCACAAAGAGCCCTGGGATGGCTCTTGCCATGCAAATCTTGGCAGCACCCTTCATTAGGGCTTTGGAGCCCATTCTGCTCTTCCATTCTCTGCTTCCATGGACAGAAGAGGTACTAAAGCAGGAAAACACACTATTTTCCTGCAAACAGCCCAAAATTGCCCATGCCCCCAGTTTCCAGCTGAGCTCACCTGCCACCGGCCTCGTGCTCACTGCTTTTGACAGGAGCCATGCAGTTACTCGCTATTTAATACATTAATTACAGCTGATTGGCAGTGCCACCCCCTCCTCCCAGAGCCAACTTGCTCCACACCACCAGGAAAGACTCCTTCCCTCAGCACAATGCCAGGGCCACCGGGATTCACCTCCCGACCATCTCTGGTGGTGGCAAGACGGGGATTAAATGGCAATTACAGGGAGATGCTGTTTCTGGTCTCATGGTAGATAGTGATGTCCCATGTATGTCATGGGAAATGGATGCAAGTCCCTCTTACTGATGCACGTGGGGGCTGAAGGCGGTTTTGCTTTGCAGGAAGGTGATGGTAGAGGTGAGATGGCTGCTGGAAGGTTCATCTCTGCACCACTTTGCTCCCCAAAATGCCCTGGTTGAAGGATCCCCCTGCTCCAAGCTGAGCCCTGACACTGCAGGCGCCCCGGTGGGGACGAGGGTCCTTGCAATACCCAGTGCCACTCACAGAAGGCAGCTGGAGCCCGCTGTGGAGCTCGCTGCTTTCAAAGGGTTATTTTTGTTAGAAAAGCCAGTGCGGTGCCAGCCCCGGCAGGGATCTGGGTGCCCAGCATTTCCTGGGGACCGAAACATCCCCCCGTGTCACTCGCCTGGGAGGGGGTGACTGCTCACCCCACACTCATCCACAACCCCTTCCCATGGGAACGCCAGCCCCACAAACCCAAACAACGAAATCCAGGGCCTTCTCTCAAGGGGGCACTTGTGCCCATCCTCTCCAGTGGGGAAGTGCCGGGAATGTCACTCAGACAGCGCCACGGTGACAGTCACTTTTCCCACAAGCAGGGTCCCAGCCCCACCACCCCACACCCATTTCTCCCCCAGTTTTGCTGTTGGGTGACCCTGGCGAGCTCTCGCTCCACATCCACTTTGGGGATCCTCTTCTCTCATCCCAAAGTGAAACAACCCACCCCAAAAGTGGGTGCAGGGAAGAGCTTTGGTGCCATGAAGGCCCCCAGAGCCGGTGGGTGGAGGGGAGGGGATCACCAGCCTGGCAGCCCCCCAGTTCTCTACCCATCACCACAAGCAGCCCAAAACCGGGTAGGGGGGTGGCAGCCCCACTGGCAGGGCCCCCCGGGACAGTGCCAAAGCCCTGACTCACAGCACGCACGTACCCGTGCCGGGTAAAGCGATAGGAGGGGACAGAGGACGCCGGAGCCCAAAATACCCCAGCGTGCCTGACACCGGAGATTATCGCTTTGCCGTGGGACGGTCGCCTGCCCTGGCTCCCCACAAAGCATCAAAAACCCCCAGATCTCTGCCCTCACCTCTCCCCGTGCCAACCACCCAACGGCAATGGCAGGCTGCAGGGTGCCCACTGCCCTGGCAGGGCCTCCACTACCATTTCCAGATGGTTTCTCCCCAAAATACAGGTGTTTTTCTCACCCAAGTACAGACCTGAGCAGTTTCGGGGGGTGGAGACGGGTGGCACTGCGAGGGCTTGGCCTTATTTTCCTTCCAAAGGGGTTAAGGAAGAAAAAACACACTCCAACCCCAACAAGGAGGGTGTAAAAATAAAATAATAATAATAATAATAAAGATGACACACGGCTGAAAATTATACACCTAATTGCTGCCTCGTTAGCAATGCGCCCCTATGACGAGGCACAAAGTGTTTAGCATACAGTCAGTGTATGGTCATCCCCTACATGCGTGTGACACACATGTAACGTGACATGCGTGTAGCCCCCACCCCCCGCCCGGCTCAGCCCCCCAGTCCCGTGCTGTTTCCCGGGGGGAGGGGGGTGCAGCCGGGCCGTTTATCTCTTTCTATAACGCCTGGCGCCTGCTCCCGACGTACGGGCTATACCGTACACAAGGCCTCTTTGTAACCCCGTAGGTCCCTACAGGGGAACAGCCGGAGCGGGGAAGCAGCGCAGAACAGCCCCGACGGGGCGGGACCCTGGGGACCCAACGGGGGGGGGGTTGGGGACACCTTGGGGACACCGCGGCTGTGCCCCACACAAACACCCCCGTCGGGGGGGAGCCCCAAAGGGACGGGCGGGGCTGCCGGGTGCTGGGGGGGCGAGGGCTGGGGCGACCCCGCCGCCTCCCCAGCACCCGGCGGGGCTCGGTGCAGCCGGAGGGCCGGGAGGAAGGAGGCGCCGGAGGAGGAGGAGAAGGAGGAAGGGGGGTTGGGAGTCTCTTCCCGGCGAGCGCTTACCTGCTCCGTGCTCCGGAGGGGCTGGGCCGGCCGCGGGTGCCGGGACCGGGGCCGGGGCCGGGGCCGGGCCGGGACCGGGCCGGGGCCGGGCCGGGGAGGGCGGCAGGAATGCGGGGAGCACGGCGGGCTCCCGGGTCCGCGCACGGAGCCAGGCGCAGGGACGGGAAAGTTTATGCAAGGGAGGAGCAGAAAGTTGGGAGTCAATCAGGAGGCGGCGGGGCCGGGCCTTCCTCCTCCTCCTCCTCCTGCTGACCTCCTCCTCCTCCCACCGGTCCTCCCGCCCTCCCTCCCGCTCTCACCCCCGGGGCAGCGGCTGCGAGCTCCGCGGCTTCCCCTCCGCCGGGACGTTTTTAGGGAAAGGGCAGCCCCGGAGCCCGGCTCGTCCCGCGCCCTGGCAGCGCCCTCTAGGAGCCTTCCTCACCCTCCTCCTCTTCCTCCCTCCTCCAGCCCACAGCCCCGAGATGCAGCCCAGGGCCGGCGCTGCTGTCCCGCCCCGTCGCCAGCCTGCCAGGGTCTTCCGCGTACATCTTCATCCCGCTCCACTCATCCTCACCCACCTCCCTACGCTCACCTTCTCCCCTTCCACACATCATCCTTGTCCTCTGCATGCCCTCGCGCCGTGCCGCACACCTTCATCCCCCTCCTCATCGCCATCCTCACACTCTCACACCCCACCGAACGCCTTCATCCCCCTCCTCACCCCTCTCCAAACACCTTCATGCCCCTCTTATCCCCCCCATACACACCCTCAGCCCCCCATACCCATCTCTCTCAGACACCCACCCTACCCTGAGATACCCAGGATGGGGCTCTCAGCCCACGCCACTGCGATTTCCCAGGGGAACCCAGCCAGGAGCCAGCCGATGGGTGGTAACGTGCTAAGCCACAGCCGCTGATCGCATGCAAATCCCTGGCCATGACCCAGCCCGACTGTCGGGAATTGCGGCCCCGGGTACGGGCAACACGTGACAAAACCCTGGCCTCAGTGGCCATGGGGTCCAGCACGCTCCGTGGTACCCAAAAGCCCCCAAGGTAAATCAGGGAGAGCGTTCCTCCCTGCGCCCTGCTTGGAGAGGGGATGCTCTTTGCACCCCATCCCTTCTCAAAACATGTTTTTCTAATCTTCGTGACAAGCTCGGTTGCATTGAAGCATTTTGGGACAAGACAAGCCAACGCTTCAGCCTGTAAAGCGGCGGTCTCCAAAGCATCCAGCGCATTCAGCAATCGTGTGTGATTAATAAAGCCATATCGCATTCTTCCACCCTTGGCCTGGTGCTAAGTTGTAAGAAATCTGGCTCCAAAACTGCAACAAAATGGTTGCTATTCTCCAAGGGCCGCTCAGATCCCTCGTTACTCATCCCTTACTTGGGCAAAAATGACATTGACTGCTCCTGGAGATGACAGCCTTAATTGAGTTCAATAGGAGTTTAGGCTGAGTAAGGCATGAGCAAACAAGCGTGCATTAGCCCATGAATAAAAGCCTGATCTGCAAACGTTTAGGAACACATGGAACTCCATGCAGGGGAGTACCAAGGGGGTCACCGCTGTGCCAGGCCTGGTTCAGCTCCGGCTTCAGCTTGGCTACAGAATCCAACCCAACTGCTGGCACCACTGGGATGAGCTGGTTCTGGATTGCAATGATCCGAGCCTGCTTTGGTGGTTTGTTTCAGTCCTGTCTCTTTATTTGTATTTCTTTTCCTCCTTCAGAAGTCCATAATCCCTGTTTCTGCTTTTCTTCGTCCACTGGTGGGAACAGCAACTTCCTTTCCCAAATTATAATATAAAAGAGCTGCAAGCAGCAACGCCATAAATAATATTTTCTTATGGCCAGAACATCCAAGTCTAGGCAAGACACCAAGAACAGCTACAACATTGTAAAACTCCAACACTTCTGCAGAATGGATTCACTAATTAAAAAATGATTCCTTTCTAAAGCACTTGGAAAACATTGGCTTTCCCAGTACTGCCTGACGCTTGCTGTGGCAAGCGAGAGCCCATCCTGCAAACCCACAGCCCACGAGTCTGCCTTTCCCTCTCAAAAATGTCCCCAAAATAAATACACAGAGAGGGCAAGGGAGAGACAAACACCTCGTCCCCATCACTTCTTTAGTTCATTAATGTATCACCACTTCAAAGCATGGAGCAAGAGCCCCCAAAGCTGAGGCAGCGCTCTCCGCTGGGCACGGCCCTCTCTGGGAACCCACCCGACAGCTCTAGCCCTTCCATTGCTTGGTAAGAAGTTATCCCACATGGCCTTCGCTCCTGGACCTGCTGGGACGGATCCAGCCCCTTCCCTCCACAGGCGGCATCCAGCCCCTGTGGCATCCAGCCCCATCCATGGGGCATTTGGCCTTTTGAAGCCCTGCAGAAATACCCCACATCCCCCCTGAGAGTGAGTCAGTGCTCAGTGCTGGGCACATGGGGTCTGGGGCAGAGGAGAAGCAAAGAAGAGCCCCCCATTTCCATCCTCCTGCTCAGCTCTGGACCAGCATGCTTCCACCCACTGGAGCGGGATGGGGATGCAGCACCCAGCGCCTGCAAGAGCCACCAGCATCACAGTGACGTTGGTCCTGGCTCAGCATCAGGCTGGAACCTCCTTTATTTTTTTCCTCCCCTTTGCCTTATAGCCATCTTTGCAAAAACTAAAGCACATTTCCCAGGAGATTCCCTTGAGGAGCTGCCAGCAGTCGCCACTGGCCATCGGCCATGCCTGTGCCTGTGCGCGCTTCATGGGGTTAAATCTATCCTTGCACTGTCGACCACCTGAAATGAAGCTTCAGAAGCCACAAAGCCTTCCTGGTGTAGGGAACGCATCATCCCTGGGGCAAGAGGAAACCCTTTCTCCAAGGAAGATGGGCACGTTGGGCTCAAACGCTGTTGATAAGGCTCCCTCTTTCTCTTTTCCTTTTTTTCCTGATCTTTTCTTGCAGCAAGCATTCCTTTCACACCCACGCACCCCCCGGCATTCCCAACCATTGGTCTGCCGGCGCATCCGTCACACTTTCCGTCGGCCAAAGTAGATACACATTTCAACTGCTTCCATTCCTGTCTCCTCTGGTGTTAACAGCCAGCGCAAACAAAGAGCCCGAGCATCCATCGCCCTACTGAATTGTTTGCATTTGTTCCTTTGGCTGCAGTTGGTTTGGGTTAGAGGGTTTATATAAGTGATTTGGGGTTCTGGGATGGGGTGGCATGGCATTGGTCACCCATGGCAGAGGGTTTCACTCTGCTTGGGCTGCAGGCTGGGAACGCCAAGGGGTTTGCAAGCAATAATAGGCAACACAAAAGCTTTTTGGGTGAGGGGAGGGAGAAACTCCCCAGGGAGCAGCTGGGGTATCAGCAGCTCATGCTCCAGTGAGAGCCTGGGGAGCCCTAACTACTTTTTCTTACCCCACTTTGGCTTTTCTGCTTCCATCAGAGAGGACAGGGACAAGTGTTAGGCTCAACTGTTAGCCAAGCTGCTCCCAATTCCAAACAGATGTTGGGATCACAGCTGGATCTGTGGACAGAAAGCTCTTGCTTTCCCCACATTTGGTGCTCATACCTAGCCAGGGGATGCTGGTCCCAAACCGCTGATTCTCCCTTTAGCTTACAAGAAGGTCTCTGATCTCACCACAAGGATAAGGAACGATGTCCCACGCAGTCCCTTTGTCCCTGAGCTGTCTGCCTTCATCTGCCCCACCACAAATGTATGCAGATGAATCACGGAGCCCACATTCATGCAGATGGTGGGAAAACCTTGGCTCCACCCATTAAGCCACTCTGGCAGATGCTCTCCAGAGGTCTCTCTGCAGCTCACGGTCCTGCAATCACTGTGAGAGACAGTTTCAGGCCACAGCATCATTGTGACACTGCGCAGCAACGATGAGCATCCCTCTTGCACAACCACATCTGCCTCATCCATCTCCTGCTCCTCAGCCTTTCTGTCCCAGCTACCTCTCACAGTATTAACTTGGGAGGCTTAGATCACCCACAGAATGGGGAAAAAACTGTGTGTGTCCTGGGAAGGGGACCCCAAACTGTATCAGGCCACCCTGTGGTCAGTGTATGAGCTGAACTGGTGAGAGTACTATTAGGGGGTCAAGGACAGCGTGGGGCACCTTGGCATGTCCCATTGCTTCTCACACTGAATTAATCAAATTTGGGACTGTCCATGCAGCCAAATCCTCACCCCACAAAGGTGCATTAGTGCTGGAAATGGGGCACAGGCTGCCTTGCTCCCCCCAACCTGCCCTCTCCATCACCTCTCCTTCCCAATGACTCCCCCCAGACCCCTGTAACATCCATGGGTCTATGTCCTGAGGTGGCATCTCCCGTCTGCACCTCCCCATGAGCAGGGAGAACCTATGGGGTGTGCAGGGCTCCAGATCACCACCAGCCCAGGAGGGTCTGGAGGGATGGGGGGACACGGGGAGCCTGGCTGGGTGCTGAGTGTGACTCAGCACCGCACCACACCTGGTGAGTCACCCACCGGCACTTCCTGGTGCACCCAGAGTTTTCCCTTCCAGGTCCCTCCTGGCAGCATTGCCCCTGCCCAGCCCCGTGCTGGTGATGCCAGCTCTGCCTCACGTGGCTGCCGGTGCCTCCCCTTGGCACGTGCCCACGCGGTGCCAGGGCTCTGGGTGCCAAGCTGCTCCTTAGGGACCCAAATTCCCAAAGGTTTCCAGGTAGTGGGATTAGACCCAGTGCATGGAGAGCCCTGGGTGTGCAAACACATCACGGGCACTGCATGGCTGCTTGCACCAGGGAAAGATAGGGCAAAAAAGGTTGGACTTGATCTTAAAGGTCTTTTCCAACCTAATTGATTCTATGATTCCATGAATAAAGCGGTTTGGTGCTCAGTGGCGGGGGGGGTGGGGTGGGGGGTGTCTGTGCACACTCATAGGCAGATGAGGAAACACAGAGACCACCAACCCCCCCCTCTCTGAGAGACCAAGCTACAAAATGCAAACCAGAATCTAAAACCGTCAAAAATAAAAAAAGGGGGATGAGTTTCCAGGATCTAAGTCCAAGAAATGTCTCAAAGGGATGAGATTGGGATCACAGTCAGCCTCATCTGCTAAATATACCCTGAGCTTGACTCTGCCATCTGGCCCCAGTTTGCCTGGATAAGTGTCCCACTGTGCTCTGCAGGCGTCGTGCACCTCCAACCACCACAGGAGCAGCTGTAACCATGAGCATTCACCATGAAGAAGGTGGAAATGGAGGAAGTGGAGCAGGACAAGGACACAGGAGCATCCACTGGGCACCAGCACGTGGTCCCTGTGCAGGTGCTACTCACAGGCCAGCTTCCCGTCGAAGCTGGAGAGAGCTATGGCAAAGGCCTGCACGGCACAGAGGGGGTAGTTGTAGTCCATGGTGAAAGCATCATCCGCCACGCGCCCAAACTGCATCACGATGTAGTCAGCTGTGGAAGAGAAAGTGAGAGGCTGGGCACCCATCCCACCCTTCCATAGAGCCATGGAATCAACCGGGTTGGAAAAGCCCTTTCAGCTCATCCAGTCCGACCCCAGCACTGCCCAGGCCACCCCTAACCCATGGCACTGAGGCCTCGTCTCCACGCTGTGTGAACACTTGCAGGGACGGTGACTGCAGCCCTGCCCTGGGCAGCCTGTTCCAATGCCTGAGCACCCTCTGGGGCAGGAATTGTTCCTCAGCTCCATCTAAACCTGCCCTGGGGCAGCTTGAGGCCCTTTCCTCTTTCCAATGGTGACATCCCAAAGAACCTGCTGCCCCCCCAGTACCGCAGTGCGTATTACCAAAAAGCATCATTTCCCCACTGCACGAACCACAGCACCCTTCAGTCCCCCCGCAGGGGCAGGGACCCCCCCGGCAGGGGACAGGGACCCCCCCGTGGGACCGCTGGGACCGGAGGGCGGGTGACAGGAAATCTGTATAAATAACCAGGGGCCCTCGAGGGGCTGTTTCTGTCCCGTAACCCAACACCCGAGCCCGAGGGCTTCTGACTGCGCCCGACAGGTGACGACGGCCGGCGCAGAGCCGCTGCCACCCCAAGGGACTGTCCCCAGGGCGCGTCGCACCCCGAGGTGACCCGCGGGCAGCGTGGGGTGCGTATGGGGGGGATGCCCTGGGGCAGCCTGGGCTAAGGGGGGGCTGTCAACGTCCTGGAGGTGCTCGGCACCCCGCGGGGTTTGTCACTGCCCTAATCTGCCTGGCAACAGATGACGCTCGCTCCCTCTGCCTGCACACGGTGCCTCAGGCCCTGCGTGGCTTCACCCCGGCACCCCAAAAGCAGCCACACGTGGGAAAATTAAACCTCAGCAAAACCAGGGGGTGCTGGGGCCGGCTGAAGGTGGTGCTCCCCCATCACCCCCCTTCCAATCCCAGCTTACGGTCACTGCTGTGCACGATCTGGAAGTTCTTCACGGAGGCGTGAGTGACCCGGCCGTGGAAGTTGAGGACGTAGGACTGTGTCTCATCATTCCACACCGGCGCCTTGTTGTGCAGCTCAATCACGTTGTCCATGTTTTTGTTCTGCCATCGCATCAGGAGACCATCGTTATCCTGGGGAGGGTGAGAGTGGGGAGCAGAGTTGGGGTGACTGTATCCAGAGCCCTGCTACCCTCCATGGGGTGCCCAGAGGATGCTCTGCAGCAGTATCCAGCTGGGAGCTGGGATCCAGCATGGAGAAAACAATACAGCTACCACATTTCCCACCTCCCAGGGAGGTGCTTTGAATCTCAGGGACACCTGAAATCTTTTCCATACCCTAAAATGGGCAAAATCCAAGGTGATCCCCAGCACATCCAGGCCCCAAGCAGTTCCTCCCCAACTTACATTTCGGGGCCGGATGGGCACCCTCTCGTTGTCAGAGTTCATCCCAGGGATGATGACCGTCATCTTCCGGGGGCCTTTGAACCCTAAAACATTGGTCTCCTGCAAAGGAAACCCCATCCCTAAAACCAGCAACCACTGCAGGCTGCAGCCTCTTGCGGGCAGCTGTAGGAGGGCTCAGGAATGGATCCAGCCCCATCCCACATCCCCGCCACCCCCTGGCAGCAGCCCAGTGAAGGGGTGCAGGTCAGGGACCCCCTTGCCCCTGCCCAGGACGTCCCAGGGGCTCCTTACATAGACCACAGCTGAGAGTTCCTGCCGCACGTTGGACCAGTCAGCGTTGGCCCTGTCGGGGTTCGCGCCGTTGTCGAACACTGTGAACTTCGTACCCATCAGGTTGGATCTGCAGTGAGGACAGGAGATGGCCGCAGCCGGTGCCACCAAGTCCCCTCTATGCCCCCAGCCCAGCTTTGCTCCAGCTGTAACACCCATGGCCAGTGCCATCCTTCCCATCCTTTAGCTGTTTGCTTGGGTTCAGGGCACCCCTGAATCGGGGTGTTAGAGGGTGCTGCCACCTCGGGGGCTCCCCTGCAATTGCTGTGCGGCTGCCAGCGGTGCAGCACGCTGGGACTTGCCGGGCACTGTTTCCAGCCATAACCTGTCTGCCTGGAGGAACCAGACAAGCTGGTTTTCCCCTCCCGGCCCCCCCGACACTCTTCAGGTTGGACCCAGCAACAGGGAACACTGAATTTAGCCTCCTGCTTGACCCAGCCATCGCCTGGGACAGCCAGCAACCCATGTAGCAATGGGGTGCCATCGCCAGCCCTACCTGAGCTTCCCAATGAAGTTCTCTCCTCCCCGTGACAGGTCGGTGGGATCGATGGAGATGAGGTAGTTGGAAGTTTTGCTTTTCTTCCGCTTCCTCCCGGCAAGGAGGAATACCTGCCAGGACAGGGGAACTTTGTGGGAACTGGGCATTATCACGGCCATCACCACCACTGTCCCCAGCTTGCCGTGCCCTCTGCACAAGGCTTAGCCCAACAGGTCACTGTCACAAGCTTGGGGAAGTCATGGACTGGAGATGATCCCCACAATACAGGCTGGGCCAGGAGGGTCTGAGCCCAGCCTGGCACCAGCATGGCTCTCCAGCCAACGTTTGCTCATCATCCCGGGTACCCTGTGAAATAGGCACTTCCCAGGAGGAATTGCAGGGGAAGGGAACAGCCCCATCCGGGACCCACCACCACAGTGGGATAGAACCCCAGACTGGTTTGGGTTTGGAAAGGATCTTAAAGCTCCTCCAGCCCCAACCCCTGCCACAGGCAGGGACCCCTTCCATAGAGCAGCTTGCTCCAAGCCCCTGTGTCCAACCTGCCCTTGAACACTGCCAGGGATGGAACAGCCACAGCTTCTCTGGGCACCCTGTGCCAGCGCCTCAGCACCCTCACAGGGAAGAGCTTCTGCCTTAGATCCAACCTGAACTTGCCCTGTTTCAGTTTGAACCCATCACCCCTTGTCCTATCACTGCAGTCCCTGATGAAGAGTCCCTCTCCAGCATCCTTGGAGCCCACTTCAGACACTGGAAGCTGCTCTGAGGTCTCCATGCAGCTTCTCTTCTCCAGGCTGAACAGCCCCAATGTTCTCAGCCTGTCTTTGTATCGGAGGTGCTCCAGCCCCTGAGCATCCTCGTGTCCTCCTCTGGACTGGAGAGGTGCCTCTGGGATGCAGGTGAGCATTTCCCCAAAAGCCTGAGGGTGCTCCTGCATGGATGCAGAGTCCCAGGGGTAGCCCCACATCCCAACCCCAACTCACCTTCTTGTCATTATCCAAGTGAAGGTAATAGGTGGGGTAAAGCCCCCGGTCCATCCCCTTCTTGTCCCGTGTCACCCGGCACTTGATGGTCACCCCCTGTGCCGCCGGCCGCAGCACAAACTCCTCCAGGTTGTCCACCTCAATAACAGGCGATGGGGCTCTCTCCTCCTTGGGCTGCAGCACAAGAGGGGATGGTGGCCCCACAGCCAAACCTGTGCCCTGCTCCTTCCCCAGCTCGTTGCTCCCCACCTCCCCTGGACTGTAGTGCTGCAGCTTCAGAGATGATGCTCCAGCTCCCCAACCCACCCTGGGGGGGAAGAGCTGCCACCTCCCACGGCTCTAAGGGTTTTCTTTGTACCTTCTTTGATTTCTTCCCTTTCCCCTTCTTGTTGGAGTTTTTCTGTGGGGTCTCCAGGGTCTCGTCCTCACTCTCAGCTGCTCTGGGAGGAGCTGCAGGCAGGGCATGGAGGGAAGAGCCTGATTCTGCTGAACCCCAAACCTGAACTCTGCGTAGACCCACAGCCATTGATCATAACCCCCTCTCCATGGCCAGGCTCACCCACACTCCTGCAGCACCCACCGCCCTCCACCACATCACCAGTGCTGGGCTCCCACCTTTCTTTTTGGCTTTCTTCTCCTTAGGGGGGTCCCCGCCGGTCTGGAAGAGGGATGCTGGGTTTTTCTTCTTTCCCGACCTGATGGGTTTGGTGCTGGAATCGGAATCATCCTCTTCATCACTGCTGGTGGTGGCTGGAGGGGATATGGAAGACATTGTCATGCAGCACTGGGTACTATCAGCTCAGGGTGATGCTATGGGGCAGCAGCACTGGTTGCTACCCCTTATCCCTGCTCTCCTTGTACCTTTCTTCTTGTTTTTCTTCTCCTTCTTCTCCCCATTCACCTGGAACATGGACATCGGCTCCTTCTTGGTGCTTTTAGCAGATTTGGCTTTGCTGTCAGGGTCACCCTTGTCGCCTGGTGCGATGGAGGAGCTGATGAGTGGCCAGACAGGGGACAGGTACATGCAGTGATGGGCACAGGGAAGTGGCAGGAAGGGTTGAGCTCAGGGGAGATTTGGGGAGGGGGCAATTGCCCCACAGATACCTGAGCAATGGTGATGGAATGCTACGGACCTCTCATCCCACTAAGGACAGATTCAAGTGGCAATGAAACCGAGCTCAAGCCATCCCTGTCCCCTGAGTACTTACCCTTTGGCTTCAGCTTTTTCTCCCGGCTCTCACCCGAGGGGGACTCTTTAGGTAGTTTCTTCTTGAGCTTTTTTGGTGGATCTTTACTTTCCACCTCCTCTTCCTCCTCCTCATCCTCCGAGTCCTCAGCTGGCTCTGCCCAGAGGTGACACCAGGGCATCAGCAATGCGATGGCCTCCTGCATCGGGCCATCACGGTTTGCGAGCAGGGAACCTCCCGCGGCACCCATCCCACCATGGCCATGGTGCTGGGGCCGTGGGTTCCAGGCCAGCCGCGGCTGGTGGCCAGTGGCACATGGGACGTGTCCGGGGGCGAACGCACACTGCCACCTCCTGGCTGCAGAGCGGGGGAACGAGCCCCAGCTTTTTGTCCCGGAAAGATGTCCCGGGAGCGTGTCCCAACCCAATCCTGGCTCCCCAGCCAGCACTATGCACACAGCTCCCCTGCCACATCCCCCTTCTTCCTAGATCCACAGCTGGGGTTTGGTCCAAAAGCCCCTCAGACGCATGCAGAGTCCCTGCACTGGTGGCACCAGTGGGACATGGCATCCCTGCCATCGATGGCACCACTGGGACATGGTAGATGGGGATATAGGATGCCATGAGCGGGTGCCTGCAGAGGGGTGGGTGCTAACCCCCACCTTGCTGCTTCTTGGGGCCTTTGACCACACGTGAGCGGGGGGCTGGGCTCTCCTTTTTCCTCCGAGGCTCCTTGGTGAATTTAGGGTCCTTGTTGTTCTCCTCCTCCCCCTTCTCCTCCTTCTTCTTCCTCAGCTTCTTCACCCCTGTGTATTTCAAGAGATGCCTGTGATAGAGATGCCCCTGTTTGCGGGTGCAGGATGGGGGGACACGCTGGTGTCCCCCCATTTCCATGGGAGCTGGGGAGTCCGCGTTTACCCTGTGCCAGGGCTCGGGGCTCCTCCGTAGCCCCCCCCTCGCCTGGCTTCTTCACCCGAAGCCGCCGGGGCTTTGCCTCGGGCTCTGGAGCAGGCTCCTGCCGCTTCTTCTTCAGCTTCTGCCCCTGCGGGTGGTGCTGCAGAGACAGTGCCTGCCTTAAACCTCTTTTTCCTTGGCAAGGCAAACCCCGATCATACAGCACCAGCTCCCTTTCCGAAATACAGCCAGGCTTTTCGCACATGGGAGCAGGGACCCCAGGGACACACTCACACCTTAAAACGAGAGACTTACCATGGGGCAGCCCCACCGAGAAGGCAGAGGGAGGAAAACAAAAAGGGCTGTTAGCAGCCAGCCAGCCGCATGTCAGCCCCGGGGCCAAGGGACATGATGCTGGCACTGCCCCAGCACCATGGACCACACCAGCAGAGAGGGACAAGCTACACTGTGCCACAGGGACCTTGGCCTAGAGCCACCCCAAGCACCCATGGGCATCCCAGGGAACCTGAGCTGGGACAGGGGACATGAGGACAGCAACAGCCTGACTCCACATCCCCATCTCCTCTTGGTCCCATAAAAGGCTCCCAACAAAGACAAGGAGCGGTGGGGCTGTTACAGATGGAGGTCAACAGGAGAGGGGAAGCAGAGGATTAGGCACAACACACCTAATCCTGGTTAGGCAGGGCTATAAATAACTTTCATTTACCAAACACGGAGCATGTAGGGCAGCGCTTGGCTTCAGAGAGGAGATATCTGAGGAATGGGTGCCAGCTTGAGACCCTCAGAAAGTGATTTAATCAAATCCAGCTGTACCAGTGCACCCACCACCCAACCATGCACCTTGCCCCTTGCAGTGATGCAGCCATCTGTCCCTGCCAGATGCTCCAGCATGATGGGTGAAGGTGTTTGGCAAGAAGGGGCTTTAGATGGATCCCAGCACTGCGGATTTTGGGGGAGGAAAGCTGGGGGTCCCATAATGGAACTGGGAACTGGCTGGTTTCTTCCATGTCATCAGCTCACAGCTAAAAACTCCTTTGCATCCTTTAATCCCTTAAGCAGCTGGAGGGGGGGGGGGGGGTGGAGGATAACAACCCCTTTAGGCCTTAAGGAAGCCCTTTGAGGAGGGGCTGCTAATTAAACCAGGTGTGAATGAAATCGCTGCTGAGACCCCTCAGAGGCCGGGCAGCATCTGAGGGCTGGGCTGAAGCCCCTTGAGGAGGGTCTGGCCCTTGGGGTCATGGCCAGGGGAAAGTGAGTCACAGCCAAGGGCTTAACTGAGGGGCTTAATTAAAGCCTTAATGAGCGCTGAGTGCTCACCTCGAGGGCTGTGTGAAACTGGTGGGAAGGGGGTTTGGAAGGATGCACAAAGAAGCGGGGGGGGGGGGGGGGGTTGTGGGATTTTCTTTACTTCCCAAAAGCTCCCCTGGGGTGCAGCATCCGGAAGGAGCATCCTGTCCAGCCCCAAGTCAGTCTCATTGTGGGGCCCTGGGGTTTGGGGGTCTCCGATGTCTCCAGACCTTGGGCCTGCAGCCAAGGATGGTGGCGCTGGGGGTGGGGGAGGAAGGGCTTTTTCTCACCTGCTTGGGCTTGTGCTGGGGGCTCCCCGGCTCTTCGCTGGGGCTGTGGGGCACAGAGAAAAGGGGTCAGGGGTTTCAGAGACCCCATGATCTCCGAGACCATCTGGCCAAGCAGCACCCCATTTCTGGGGAGAGGAAAGTCAGCCTTCATTTGGCTGCAGGAGCAACTCGCCCTGTCTCCACTGGGTGAAGCTCAGACAATAGCATCCTTCCTGGAGCCCAGGATAGACCTTGGCCGAGGGTGACAGCAATGATGTTAATATAAGACACCCCCACCAACAAACACTGTCTCTCTGTAGGCCAACAAGCATTACCACACCAACCCCAGAGCAAAAAACCAACCCGGATAAAGCAGCTCCTTAAATTGCATTTTAACTGGAAATAGGACAAAAAGGCACCAGTGGGGAAGCCCAGCACGCTTCCCAGCCCACAGGTCACATCCTGCCCACTGGCACTCACCTCTCTGCAGCCCAGACCTCGCGCAGGATCTCTGTCTGCAGTGGCATGGTTCCTGGTCCAGTGTCGAGCTGGCTGCTCCCTTCTCCTGCCCCAACCTTCCCTCCTCCCAGCACCAGCTGCTGACCTCTGCGGTCCCTACCAGCCTGGTGCTGGGTCCATGGGCTCAGCCACAATGGTCCAAGCGGCCTCACCGCATCAGCTCATCCACCTCTGTGAACCCCGTGGCAGGAAGAGCAGGCGAAGGAGATGATTAACTTTTTACTTCTCCTGAAACTCAGTAATAGGATTTCAGGGGCTGCCGGCCAGGAGAGCAGCTGGCAGGGCAGTAATCCCAGGAAAAGGGAGCCCCAAGGGAGCACACTGGGCACAGGGGGTCAATTGGACCCCAAGTGCCTTTTGGGGGTGCACAGCTCCTCCGCACACTGGGTGGGTTCCCTGGCATGGTGGAGCCACTCTCTCCAGCCTGGTATGAGCAGAGGAATGCAGAGGTTAACCTCACTTAATGTGCTTTTTTCCACCCAAAAAGCATGGAATCACAGAATGTTTTGTGCTGGAAAGAACCTTAAAGCTCCTCCAGCTCCAACCCCTGCCACGGGCAGGGACCCCTTCCATAGAGCAGCTTGCTCCAAGCCCCTGTGTCTAACCTGGCCTTGAACACTGCCAGGGATGGGGCATGTCTTTTATTTTGTGATAGAAAAGCAGGATTTGGGCTGTTTCGTGGGAGTTGTGCATGGGGGAAGGCAGCATCCCAACTCCAGGCAATGCCGAGGACTTCCCTATGGACCACAGCTCTGCTCCAACTCGGATCCCCCATCCCCAGGTCCCTTCAGGTCACTGCTCCTGCCTCACCCCGCTAACGCCACTGTATTCCCGTCCAAAGGCCACCTGGATGCTCTCCATGCAAAGCCGGACAAGCCAAGTGTCCTGGGTGCGCCCCATAACCCCTCAGCCTTGCCCAGCCCACCCCAGACCCCCCCCCCCCGCCGCCCCACTTCCTCCCGGTGCCGCTAGAGGGCATTTGAGCACCGCGCACCGGGACCCACCCGCGCCCCGACGGCTTCGGCGCCTTGGGTGCAAAGTGCTCCCCGCTCCGCTTTCAGCCCCAAACCGCACGGCGTCACCTGCCCGCGGTCGGTTTCTTTTCCACGGGGGTAAAAGCTCCGAGGCGGAATAAGCAATAAATTTCCTTGGGGGGGGGGAGGGGGTGTGAAGGGAAGGGAACCCAGGAATTGCAAAGCAAGTTGTGGGGTTTGTGCTGTTTCCCATGGAAAATGTGGCTTGGGCTGCCCTCAGATGACTTTTTTTTCTTTGCCTGCAACAAAAAGAAGCCAATTCTTCGCAGAGCCCCTGGTCAGCACCCCCAGAGATGCTTTGCTGGCTCCGAAACACCCGGGGGATGCTGTAAAACCAGAGACCTGGATGAGCAGCAGCACAGCCGCAGGTAAGAAAATGGGCAGGCTTGAGAAATGGTGCTTCAGCTATCACCTGGTGGGACTAAAGAAGAGGAATTCTAACACAATCTGGGTTATACCCCAAGACTGTGGCAGAGGGGGTGTAACAGGGACAGGCAGAGGGTGCAGAGGGACCTGCATGGCTCTCTGCTCCCTCTACACCCTCACCAAGGGTACACAAACCTCCTTCATCCACGCCGGAGCCCCTTCCCAAAGGTAAGCACTGGCAAAAAAACAAAAGCATCAGGACAATCCTCCCCCGCCACCCTCCCCCCAGGATGGTGCTGGTAAAAAGGGACACCAGTAAATTCCTTAACAAATCCCTTGCTGGAGCCGGGGCATCTCCACATCCTCCCCCCAGCAAGCCCGTTTGCTGAGCAGGATCCAGAGAAAACACTTCTTTATTCTTTTCTTTTCTTCAGTTGTTTATTTTTAAGCTCCAAAAAGGGCTTTACAAAGAACAGACAGGAAAACTAAAGCTGTTCTGACAGTGTCCCTTTAGGATGCAGGGCGACCACAGCCAAGGTGGCAGCAGCACCGGTGCAAAGACACAATGTGCCCCAGCCCCCCTCACCACAGCAGCGAGCTGTGAACGCATGGTCCCAGCCCAGATCCAACAACGTCTCAAGCCCTGCTCTTTTCTTCCCCTGTAAGGAGCCCAAATAAGCAATAAAATCACTTAAAGATGGGTGCTGAGGGATGCGCTGCAAGCCATGGATTGGTTGCCTGCGAGCAGTGCAGCTGGACAGGTTTTACTCTCCAAGGACACAGAAACTGGCTTCTTCAAAGGATAAAGTGCTCACCAAAACCCTGGTTACAGGCAAGCCACATCCTATCACCAAGTGGCTGCAATGGAGGTGATGCAGATCCTCACCCTCATCCCCGGCTTCACACTGCAACCCTTTTGGCCACACAAGAAACCACCAGGAGAGAAGACCCATTTCTGTGCCCACCCCAGTGAGTACCCACAGGTGTCAAACCACCGGGTGCTGTGGGGAGCTGGGTGCCACCCGTGCCTATGCCAGCAGCACTCCCCTCACCGGCACCAGCAACCGGAGGCCGCACTGCAGTGTACAAGGAGCATCTCCCACATCCCAATCCCAGGAGGACCCAGGACAGCTGACACAAAGCCAGAGGAGCTGGGACGAGCTGCCTACGGAAACCTCCCAAGAGGCAAGAGTTTCAATTTTTATGATGATGATGATGATGATGATTTTTGTCTTTCTCTCCGTTTCCACACTGTTTGTTCCACGTGTGGTGGTCCCACAGCATCCCGCCACTCCCGCTCGGCCCAGGGCGGTGGGACAGGGTTCGGATTTTCCTTTGCAAGGTGCCTTTTTGCTTCCACGATCACACAAACTGTAACAAGCTTACAAGAAAACACTGGCGAGTCCTGAGGTCTGACAGCAATCTTCTTCTATGGGCAGGAGGCTCTCCCTTCCCCTCCTCCTCCATCATACATGTCCTTTAGCATCTTCAGCATCAGGTTTTGATCCCTTTTCACAAGCTGCTCTCTCTGCTACTTTTTCAACCCGGGTTTTGCTAGCTGCTTCCTGCAGGACGGCAAATACAGCACATAGTTGGGAACAGGAGAAAGAGCAGGCAGTTACAGTGATGCTGGGGATGGGTGCAGGCAAGCCTGGTAGAGCAGGCAAATCACAGAATCAACCAGGTTGGAAAAGACCTTTAAGATCATCAAGTCCAACCTTTACACCAGCACTGCCAAGGCCACCACAAAACCAAAATTCCCATCCTAGGAATTCCTCCCCATGTGAGATCCTCCCTGCCTGTACACAACTGCAGTTCACACTGGGGGCTCTTGTTTTCTTGGCTCAGCAGCTGGACAAGGTTACAGCTCATCAGCTCAGCAAGCCTTTGGGGAAGGGATGGGATCCCCTGGAAATGGTGCAACCCACCTGGATCAGGCTGAGAGAGCTGGGCTGGGTCAGCCTGGAGAAGAGAAGGCTCCTGAAGGGGAGACCTGAGAGCAGCTCCAGTGCCTGAAGGGGCTGCAGGAAAGCTGGAGAGGGGCTTGGGACAAGGGATGTAGGGACAGGCCAAGGGGAATGGCTTTAACCTGCCCGAAGGGAGACTGAGCTGAGCTCTTAGGCAGAAGCTCTTCCCTGTGAGGGTGCTGAGGTGCTGGCACAGGGTGCCCAGAGAAGCTGTGGCTGCCCCATCCCTGGCAGTGTTCAAGGCCAGGTTGGACACGGGGGCTTGGAGCAAGCTGCTCTATGGAAGGGGTCCCTGCCCGTGGCAGGGGTTGGAGCTGGAGGAGCTTTAAGGTCCCTTCCAACACGATCCAGTCTGGTTCTATGATGTAAGCAAGGCACTGACATGGAGCAAGCCTGGAGAGAGGAACAGGGCAGCAGGACAAGTAATTAAGGCAGCAACATCGGAGTGGGGATGTAAGAGCCTGAGCTGTACGTAACAGCCCATACACTGGCTGTGGGGGCAGGAGAGGAGCACTAAGGCACAGCACAGCCCCACGCCTGCTCCAGCCATCACTCTCCCTGACCTGAGCTGGTTATCCCAGCACACTGCTTCCTAGTCACTTATTCCACAGCCAGGCCCCAGTTCAGAAGAGATTAAACCATAAATGACCTACACAGATGGCTTGCAAAGCCATGTCCTCTCTTGTTACAGTACACCAGGTTTTGTTCAGAGGAATGCTGGATGAGAGCCTGTTACAAGATGGTGATCTCTCCATTCGAGCACAGGAGCAGGCTATTGCCTTACCAGCTGCAGGAAATCCATCCTATCATGTCTCAAAATACCCTTGGCCGTGCCAGAGACAGAATGACATTTCATTTTACCAGTGACCAAGAGGTCATCAACACTCACTGGCTGGGAACAGCAAAATCGAGTCCAAATGCTCACCCTGTTATCAGCTCTCGGGAGCTCACAGCACAAATACTTCCATTGATGACTGAGCATCTGATGGCAGCCTTTGGCTAAGAGAGACCCAGAAATAAACCACTTCTTCCCACTGCAGCAGGCTCTATCCCTCCATCCTCAACCTGATCTATAATTCGTTTTAACTCGTCTCTTTGCATGACAAACCAGCTGAGCATCCTGCTAGATGGCAACACGCACCTTTGCATCCCTCTCTGCAAACTTTGTGAACATGTTGGCGTAGATCCTCCGGTCCCGCTCGTTGTGTTCCTTTGTTTTCTTCTGGCACACAGAGATCTGGGATTTTGCTGCTTTGTTCTGTGGATTCACTTCCAGCACTTTCTGAAAGTCACATTTTGCCAGCTCAAACTCGTTCATCAATAACCTGGCTTCGCCCCTTCGGTACAAACCCTTCTCGTTGTCCTGGTCCAGTCCTAGTGCCTGCAAACACACAGGTCCCCGTTAGCAAACTGGGGCTCCCACAACTGACCCCCTTAGGGTCATACCCTCATTAAATGTGCAGAAATTAGGACAAGGTGGCTTCAAGTCTCCAGAGCACTTGCATCTTGCTGAAGAACTGACTCGTCTCCATCAGCAGCTGGCAGGTTGATAACATGGTTTACTTATGTCTCCAGGCTTAAAATCCCCCTGAGAGTAGCTGAGTCGATGGGAGACAAACCCACAGGCAAGAAATCAGGTGTAAATGCTGAACGTGAGCCCAGAAGATCACAGGCAGCTCAGAGGTGGGGAATCAATGGACTGAATGTGCTTTTGTGTCCCTGCTTTAGCAAGAACGTTATTTTCCTTTACTAAAAGCCACAAACGCATCTTGGAGATGACTTACCTTTCAGATTAAGGCAACTAGCCTTAATCCCGGGTGCAAGAGGAGATGCTCACATCTAAGCCTTTTATGAAAGAATTAATAGTTTCCTGACAAGGATGAGGTTGCTGCTCTTTAGGGGCCTGGCAAAGCCCCATCCCATCCCCCAGTGATCAGCTGCAGCTCTAGCAGACTGTCCCTGCTGTACCCAGATCAGCACCAAATGCCCATATCCAGCCCAGGCAGACCCAAACAGTATCTGAAGGCTTCCAGCCCATGCAGCATCGAGTTCTATGGATCTGGATTGTCCTAAGCCCATGCCCAGGTGGATTTTGAACCCCAGAAGGCACTTTTGCTCCAAGCACACAGCATCCACAAAGACTCTGAGGCGCAGAAGAGATGGTGGCACCATCACACTGCCATTTGGAAATTGCTTCTCGTACGAAATGAAACTCAAAACCCCCCAAACTCCCAATGAAAACATTCAGCAGGAGAGAATGCTCCAACTGTCTTGTGCACCTCTACCTTATCACAGCACTCCACAGCTTTGGTGTACTCTCGCAGCTTCAGGTAGCACATGGCCAGGTTGAGGAAGGCAGCCAGGAGGAAGGAGTCGGAGGCTTTCGACTCTTTCTCAGACAAGCCATATTCCATTTCCAGCCAGGACACGATCTTCCCATACTGAATCACTGCCTGCAGGTATTTGCCTTCCTGGGGTGGAGCAAAGAAGAAGAGGCTAGAGGAACCTGTGCTGACAACGCTCAGTCTGCTCCCGAAACATCCTGCAAACAGGTAACAAGTTTAACGTGGGGTGTCCACTAAATAAATGGAGGACGATGCCAAGTACCTACAAATCCACCAGGGCTTGGCTCAAGCTGCTGCTGTGCAGCCCCTGTGAATCATAGAATCAACCAGGTTGGAAAAGCCCTTTAATCCCATCCAGTCCAACCATTCCCAGCACTGCCAAGGCCACCCCTAACCCATGGCACTGAGGCCTCGTCTCCACGCTGTGTGAACACTTACAGGGACGGTGACTGCAGCCCTGCCCTGGGCAGCCTGTTCCAATGCCTGAGCACCCTCTGGGGCAGGAATTGTTCCTCAGCTCCATCTAAACCTGCCCTGGGGCAGCTTGAGGCCGTTTCCTCTTGTCCCATCCCTTGTTCCTTGGAGAAGAGACTACAAAGATCCTGGAGACAGACTCTTCATGAGGGACTACAGTGATAGGACAAAGGATAATGGGTTCAACCTTAAAAGAGGGGAGACTGAGATGAGCTCTTAGGCAGAAGCTCTTCCCTGTGAGGGTGCTGAGGTGCTGGCACAGGGTGTCCAGAGAAGCTGTGGCTGCCCCATCCCTGGCAGTGTTCAAGGGCAGGTTGGACACAGGGGCTTGGAGCAAGCTGCTCTAGTGGAAGGTGTCCTTGCCCATGGCAGGGGTTGGAACTGGATGATCTAAATCTTGATCTAGTATCTACTAAGTCATCTATCTGATGGTCAACCCGAATTTATGTCTAGCTCCCTTGTTCCACAATCGTCAACCTTACAAACCTTGAAGTACATCGTGCCTTTCTCCTTGACGATGGCAGCCTGCTCCAGCTTCTCTTTTGTGTCCATCTCCCACGACTCCTTGGCCTGAAAGAAATACTTGGAGCAATCCCAGTGGCAGCCCACCGCATCCAGCAGGACCACACAGCTTTCCAGGATTGCTTGCAATGAGCAGGACTCCTCAGGGCATTATTACCAAGGGTAGATCCAGCAGCAATGGGTATGAGGATACACCCAGAGCATGTACAGGGGTGAAGACCTGAAGCCTTTTACAAGAGTGGAACCCCCACCAGGTTTGGGATTTCTCACTGCGCCAAGGTGATTTATCCACCTGAACCCTACAGGAGGAAAAGCCCTGAGAGATGTGGTGGGTCTCACTCCTGCTCCGACCAGAGTGATGCCTGAGGAGGGGACCCAGCCAGGGATGCAGGACAGCGTCACTTGCCCATCCCATGGGCATCTCTTGCATCCTGTCCCCAGTATCCCAGCGAGCACAGTGGCTGGGCACACTGACTTGTATCTGTGCAGCCCGGGGCAGGGGGGGAGAAAAAGGAGAAAAAAAACTTAAGAAGGTACAAGAGGAACAAGGTGAGGAACAAACGAGACCCAGGCTTGGAGCCCAGCCCAAGAGATCCCTGGTGACGTCCCCCCTGCAGCAGGGGCTGGGCTGCAGCCATGCCAGGGGCAAAGGGTGGGCACTGCGAAGGGAACCTTGGCGCCTGCCCTCACCTTCTCAAAGCTCTTCAGTGTGACCTCGTAGACCAGCTCCGTGTTCGCCTGGATGCCGTACTTCGGCTTCCCTGCCTCGCCGAAGCCGTACCTGACCGGGCAGAAGGAGCTGTCAGAGAAGGGGGAATCTTCCCTTCGTCAGCGTTCGGCCATGAACTCAGACCCAGGCTGCCAATTCCCATCTCACCCCCAACTCCACATCTGCAGCTTTCTAGTGTTTCGTGGCCAAGGTGATGTTCAGCCATGGGCTGGGTCAGCCTGGAGAAAAGGCAGCTCCTGGGAGACTTCAGAGCAGCTCCAGTGCCTAAAGGGGCTGCAGGAAACCTGGAGAGGGGCTTGGGACAAGGGCCTGTAGGGACAGGCCAAGGGGAATGGCTTTAACCTGCCCGAGGGGAGACTGAGATGAGCTCTTAGGCAGAAACTCTTCCCTGTGAGGGTGCTGAGGCGCTGGCACAGGGTGCCCAGAGAAGCTGTGGCTGCCCCATCCCTGGCAGTGTTCAAGGCCAGGCTGGACACAGGGGCTTGGAGCAAGCTGCTCTATGGAAGGGGTCCCTGCCCGTGGCAGGGGTTGGAGCTGGAGGAGCTCTGAGGTCCCTTTCAACCCAAACCAGTCTGGGATTCTGTGATTCTATGTTACTCTCCACAAAGATACCTGACAACACTCAATTCATTATATAGTGGGAATCACCATTTCCACTATGATTCCAATCTGAATCAAATCCAACTTTTTATACAGGTTTCCATCCAGTGAAGACAAATCCCATGCGATTTCCAGGGAGACATTTTCCTTTCAGCCACAGGACTTGGATAAAACTTTTACCTGATTTTCCGAAGCATCTCCAGATTCCTACCTACGTGCCACTGGTCCCTCTTGCCATCCCCACCAGCGCTAACCCAAGGCTTTCCTGGAGGGTCCTATTTTCAGGATTGCTGTTTTCCATGACTGCTAAACCAACTTTGGATGCTGGAAGCTTAGAACTAGATGGCATCCCCGCAGGGGTGCTCCTTACCGTGGCGCGAGGTAGAGGATGCAGTGCTCTCCCCTCTGCATCTTCTCCAGGGCTTTGTCAATGCCGATGGGGATGTCGTGGTCCTCCCCTTCACCCACAATGAACTTCACATCTTTGCAGTCGAACCTGGTGCCACCACAGAATCCCTCCAGATGAACTACGAGGGGAAAAGGGGACAGGGCAGGATTGCACCTGGAGCCACCCAAACCAAGGCAAGGTGGGCTCTAAAGAAAACATCTTGTAAAGCAGCATACAAAGCAGATCTCCTGAAATCAGGCAAAACCTCCAGCTCTGGAAGTGGGGAAGACACAGGGCTGGGGGTAGCCAAAGAGCCCCTGGGGAGGAGAAAGGGATGGGGAGGGCTTGGAAACACTGCTGAAGAGCAAGGCAGGCCCATCTCATCTACCCAAGGAGCAGACAACAGATAAACATCATGACTAATATGTTCCCCTTGTTCTCAACTGCACGAGTCAAGTCTTACTGGAACTGGATATTGCTCCTGGCACGCAGCCACGCAGTTTATCATGGCGATTACAGACCTCCTATACAGTGCTATAGCGCCTTGCCTTCCACCTCGAGAGCACGGCTGTGTTCTCCTGCCTCCAAGAACTCAAAGTACAAGATAAACTTGCCTCTTCTTCCCCCCCCCTTAATCTTCAACCAGGAACAGCCCCAGCCGCTGGCAGAAGCGCAGGCAGAGCGGACACCAGGTACCTGGCACATTCACCACCTGGTACTGCTGGCTGCCTTTCCACAGCAAGATTCTGCTTTATTTATTCCCTCCTGAAGCCGTTCCCAGCTTTGGGGACAGTTTTATGTTCTCTGCACTCTGCTTGCAAGGTACAAGGCACAACACGTGCAGGCAAATGTAAAGTAAAAGCAGTTTCCTGAGGAACTGATGTACCGTTAGGGGAAAAAAGCCAACACAAAACACACTTGTTAGGAGAAAAATCCACAGTGGGCATTGACGTGGTTAGAACTGTGTGTAACGGCTCCGCAGCACGGAAGGACATGAGCTTTACCTTTCCTTGCAGCAGAGGGAGCAGGATGTGACCCGAGGATGTGCACTGAGCCCCTCACCCTGGTGTCAGGGCAGCAGGAGGCAAGTGCAAGGACAAGCCAAAGCAGACGCTGCGCCAGACACAGCCAAGAGGGTCCAGGCTCCATATGGGAGAGCTGCAGCCTGGGATGAAGGAAACCCACCCAGCTCTGCCCCACAGACACTTCCCTGTCCCAGAACCTATGGGAAGTCACCAGAATGAGACTCACAGACTGAGTGTGCAGCAGAGCCCCAACCCCAGGGCAGGTCCAGCTACGCTGCCATAACCACCCAAGGATGCCCTCTCCACCCCAGGGACAGGACACCAAGCTCTGCCTCACCACCCTGCTCCTGCCACCAAAGCCACACTGGGACCCGAGCTCAGCAGCACCCTGGGACACATCCTGCACCCATCACTGGCACGCGGTGACCATGCGCAGGCTCACCCAGAGCTCCTCCAGGGCTGACCTTGGCTTTTGCACTACCCAAAACCAAGCTGCAGCTGTTGTCTTAGGCATAAGAAAGTGGAAATTTCAGCCTAAAATACAGGTAACCCACAGCACCATGCACGTTCCCAGAGAGCATGGATCCATAATCCCCAAGCCCCAAAGCAGCAGCACTACAGCTCTCCCCTTTTCCCTGTCCCCAGCGGGACGTGGCAGCGACGGCGAGGTTCCTCTTTAAAACAGGATGCACAGGAGGATGCTGCGATCCTTCCCTTCAAGAACTGTTTTGCTCTACTTTAATTGCACACAAAATACACTGGATGAAGCGGGGGGGTGGGAATCTCCGCTTGGGTTTCCAGGAGCAGGTCAGCTGGTTGCAGTCGCTCTTGGATTACAGGGGGGAAGGCTCCGGAGGAACATCGCTCTGGTTGCAGCTCTGACTTATTGTTCTCTCGGTGCCTGCAGCGATTTTGTTTTTGAAGAGCTGAGAACAGAGTGTACCGAGTGCGGCTGGCACACGGACTTGATGTGCTGACAGCAATTTGTGCTCAGATTAAAAACGGAGAAGGAGGAGGGATGGGGGGGAAAGGTTGTAACAAAAGCTGGAATGCCAGATTTCAACTGCAGCCCCGGTTTTAAGGACCAGAACCGTGATTTTAGGATCTGTGTAACTTAAAACCTAAATAAAAGCTTTCAGAACTCCAGCCTGGAGATGCTTGTTCCTGGAAATGTGGTATCCCAGCTGGAATTAGGCTGGAAGAAACACCTCCCAGATACATGGCACCGAGAAACCATCGCTGCTCCCGTGGGTCACAGCCGTGCCCAAAGGTGGGCTGTGTGCTGTCCCCATGGCTGCTGTGCCATCCCAGCACAGTGCTCACCATGAACAGTGCTGCAGCTGTTGGGTTTGGGTTTAACTTTAAAAAAGTGTGTTTCATACAATCCTAGAATGAACCAGGTTGGGAAAGCCCTTTAATCCCATCCGGTCCAACTGTTCCCCAGCACTGCCAAGGCCACCCCTAACCCATGGCACTGAGGCCTCGTCTCCACGCTGTGTGAACACTTGCAGGGACGGTGACTGCAGCCCTGCCCTGGGCAGCCTGTTCCAATGCCTGAGCACCCTCTGGGGCAGGAATTGTTCCTCAGCTCCATCTAAACCTGCCCTGGGGCAGCTTGAGGCCGTTTCCTCTTGTCCCATCCCTTGTTCCTTGGGAGCAGAGCCCAGCCCCTCCTGGCTCCATCCTCCTCTCAGGCACTTGTAGGCAGCCATCAGGTCCCCCCTGAGCCTTCTCTTCTCCAGCCTGAACCCCCCAGGTCCCTCAGCCCTTCCCCATCACACTTGTGCTCCAGGCCCTGCACCAGCTCCGCTGCCCTTCTCTGGCCCCGCTCCAGCCCCTCAATGTCTCTCTTGTAGTGAGGGGCCCAGAGCTGAACACAGGATTCGAGGTGTAAGTTTGCACCCAAACTGCTCACTGCAGGGCAGCCTTGTGTGGCTCCTCCTTGTCCTCTCTCACAGTGATGTATTTAAGGATCTCCAGCCCCTGGATGAAGAGGGATGTATGGGACTAGATGAATTGAGGGCCATTTAAGCTGCGAACAGAGGCAGCGGGATGATGCCAGTGGGATCAGAGCAGCATTCCCTGTAGCTGCCTTCTCCACAGGCAGGACATCCATCATCACAATGACCACAAGCGTGCTCCTGCTTGCAGTGTTTGCTCTGATGGACGCATTCATTTGCAATAGGTAGAGCAGGGATAATAGGAGGGCACTATCACATGTGTGAGGAGCTTCACTTTTGGCTCCTTATGTCCTTTCAGAGAAATGACTCCTGGCTGGTGCCCTCCCTCCCTGCTTCAGTCCCTTCCTGAGCCATCAAAGCAGCATCATGTTCCAGAAAACCTCAAGCTGCAAAGGGAAAAACCACAGAGGGACCAGGGCTCTCCCCATCCTCCGCACTGGGCACGATGCTGCCTGTGAAGTGCTCACACATCATCAAAATAAAGAGGAACGCTGAATCCATATGACTGCCATTACATTTAGTCTTTTAGTTTAATCTTTGGGGGTGCGGAGCCAGCTCGAAGCTCGGCTCGCAGCTGGTCCCCAGCTAGAATGCTCACTGCGGGAGAGGCAGACAGTGCAATCTGAGTCAGAAACTCATTCTTCCTTACGAGGAAGCCTCGTTAGAAGAACCAGTCATCTAAGGCAGGGAGCTTTATGAGCTGTCACAGCTCAGATCCAATTTCTCCTTTGCTAAAGGGAGTTAATCTTTGTGTACGGGAGCTCTGAAAGAGAGAAAGGAAATGCTCCCATACAGAACAAGCTCTGAGTCTGTGGCTGAGTGGTTCTTGGGAAGGAAAAGAAATAAAATCAGCTAGGCTGGAAAAGACCTTTAAGATCACTGAATCCGTGATCAATGAGCCTGGCTTCCCCCATCCAGACCCAAATAATGTCTGCTCCAGAAACAGGATCAGAACAGGAACAGCCCGTGAGACTGAGCTCCTCATACTCCTGTATCAGCTGAGACCATCCTGGCCCCAGCAAACCCTGTTGATTCATTTCACAGAATCATAAAATGGTTTGGGTTGGAAAGGACCTTAGGATCCTCCAGTTCCAATCCCCCTGCCATGGGCAGGGACACCTCATTCTAGACGATGTCATCCAAGGCTCTGTCCAACCTGGCCCTGAACACTGCCAGGGATGGAGCATTCACCACTCCTCTGGGCACCCTGTGCCAGCGCCTCAGCACCCTCCCACTAAAAGGCTTCTTATCTCCAGCTGGAACTTTCCTGGTTTCAACTTGAACCCATCACCCTTTGTCCTAGCATTGCAGTCCCTCCCTGCCCTCTTCAGCAGCCTTCTGGCCGCAGGGGAAGAAAAGGCTCCATTCTGCAAAAGATGCAATAAACCCCACCAAAACTACCATCTAGGCTGAAACAGCCCCTTCCCTGTGAGGGTGCTGAGGCGCTGGCACAGGGTGCCCAGAGAAGCTGTGGCTGCCCCATCCCTGGCAGTGCTCAAGGCCAGGTTGGACACAGGGGCTTGGAGCAAGCTGCTCTATGGAAGGGGTCCCTGCCTGTGGTAGGGGTTGGAGCTGGAGGAGCTTTAAGGTCCCTTCCAACCCAAACCACTATGGGATTCTAACAAGTATGCCAGAGAAGCTGCTGAGCACCAGCATCAGTGCCCAAAAGAGATGCCATTAAGGGAGGATGTCCTGGCAACTGATGCTTTCCAGGCAGGGCACAGCCAGGGGTTTTGGCAGCCAGCGGATCCCAGAGCAGCCTGGACACTACAATGGATGCAGAAGGGTCAGCGGAGAAGCCACAGCCCTGAAACCCCATGTGAGGGTTTGCTTCCTTCATCCTAGCCCTGGCTGAGCAGCTCCAGGGCTCACAGCAATGTCTGTCAATGCAACTGAGGGAACAGAGCACAGGTTACACTGCAGCGGTCCCTCCAGCATCTCTGGCTGCTCCCATGGCCAATCCACCCTCCCAGCCAGCAGCTCCCGCAGAGCCAAGGAGAGCTCAGGGAACATCCCCAGGAAGGCAGGGAACCACTGCCCTCCAGCACCTCTCCATCTCATCCAGCCTCCACGTGGACATCACAGCATCCCACTGCGATGTACAAACACCTGCAACCTATATAGTGCCAACAGCTCCTTGCCAGTGGGCTGGAGGGATGATCCTGCAGCAGAGCACCTCCCTCCACAGCAACCAGCACTCACTTTCTACTGTAGCACCTTCATTAGGGTTGGAGTAACCTTCTCCCTTCCTCTTGATCCTCCGGATTATCCCTCCGTCCTCAAACAAGTCCTCACCTTTGAAGTCAAGCAGCTCAACCTAAAAAATAAAACAACAAAGAAAAGGTGGGCAAAGCTCAGGGAGAGGGGAAGGAGAAGAGAAAATACAACAGAGAAGCCACAGAGCAGCAGTTCATCCCCTGCCTGGAGAGCCAAGTCAACCAATTCTCCATTCAGCTGCTGAGCAGAAGTTGCTCATAAAAGCCAGCTCCAAGCCACAGCATAATACACCCGATTTATTAGAAATTGGGACACATCCAGTACCTGAAGCACAACACAAAGTAACAGTACAAATAAGTTTATTAAGCCTGTAAGGGTACAACACAGTCATTGCTGCAAGATGCTGCGAAAGCTGCCCAGGACCAGCGTGGGCAGGAGCTTCCCCTTCAGCCAGGACCAGCTCCGACCCACGGCTTTGTCCCCACTTGACTTGGAAAGACTCCGCCTGAAAGTGGACAGACCCATTCCTCCCACTGCCTGGTCCCGACGAGCCCTGCCCTGTGCCAAAACCTCGGCTCTCCAACCGCCCCACGGCATGAATGGGCTTTTAGCACCCGGAGGCTTTTCCCAGCCACCTTCTCCTTCCCACATCCATGTTTAAAGCAGGAATCTGCCCACTCTACCCCCTGGCTCCGGGGCTCTCCCCAGCCGGAGGTTTCAGTCCCAGCCTCCCAGCGCAGACACACATTTCTGAGAAAACCCTGGCAGCGGTTCCTGGAGCGCAGGGACACGTTTCAGGAATCCAAGCTGGGTTTTTTGTTGGTTTTGGGTGGGTTTTTCTTCCTTTCTGAGCTGGCTGGCAAGGCAGGAAGGGAGCAAGGGACTCATCCAAGCACCGGCTCAGCGGCGTTACTTGCCTCAAAGAAGAGGGTGGCGTTGGAGGGGATTTTGGGGGCGCTGCCAGCGGAGCCGTACGCGTACTCGGGTTTGCACAGCAAGTAGCAAATCTCTCCCTTCTTCATGGTAGCCACCCCGATGTCCCATGCCTTGATTACCTGACCTAGGAGAGAGGCACACGTGAGGCAGGAGGGAACAACCACCAGCCCAGGGAATACCCAGCCTGGGTGCTCCAAGGACGGCAAACCAAGAAAAAGCACCCTCAGAAGTCACTTAATGCAGGGCTTACACCGACCATCTATTGAGCAACAGGGTCCCACCACCCCCACGGTCATCCCATCCCCTCCAGGATCATCCCAGCCTCAAGCATCCCCCCGGCCCAGCTCACCCTTGCCCAGGCTGAAGACAAAGGGCTCGTTCCGATCGCGGCTGGAGTCAAATTTTTTCCCACTGGCCAGTTTGCCTTTGTAGTGGACATAAACCTTGTCCCCAATCATGGGGGACTCATCTTCACCCCCAGGTCGTTTAATGATCTGAGAGAGAGAAACCACCCGTGAGAAAGGGAGGCTGTGGGACAGCTAAGGATGCATGTGGAGAGATACACAGGTATTTGATAGGGACACAGATATTAGATACACAGATATTAGAGACATACATACAGATATCAATATTAACTATAGGTATCTATATTATAGATACTAGCTATAGATCCTAGCTATAGTTAAAGGTATTACATATAACACCTATTTAGATACATAGATATTAGACATATATAGGCACACATGCATTTTCATATATACATACATGCATTTTTATACATAAACCACATGCATGCACATATATATGTACACATGTACACATACATATAAATATATGCATGCACATACATAAAAATCTATATACACACATGCATATACACCTCAGTGCTGCTCTAAACCAAATGAAGGCTTGGGGGGGGGAGCCATTCAATTTGTCCTTCCATCAGCCCCTAAAAATAAACCCCATGGGACAGGGCTGGGAGCTGAGACCTGCCCGTTCTCTGCGGCACTGCCTGGATAAACACCGTGGCTCGAAACCCGACGCAAAGGCGACCGCGCTCGCTTTCTGCCCGTACACATCTTACTCGCAGGGGTGTGTCATTTCACTACTCGCTTCTTGTCAACACTTCTTTTGAATACTACAAGCCTGGAACATGCAGTTCTCGAGCTGAGGATGGAGCAGGGGAGGATGCTATTCTTAGAGGAAAGGTCCTATTCAACTGGAGAAGAACAAGCGCTGGGGAGCAGAACTATCCAGAAACGGCCCTGAATATGAAAAACGGGTTGTGGAGCAGACTGCATGACCTCAGTGGTGTGCTCTTTTTAATGTCTGTTGAGTCACACACAAAAATGCCTTGTGGATTTACAGCTAATAATCTGATTAGGAACACAATAGCAGTGAAATTGATTGAGCAGCCTGAATCCATCAGTCCCAAATACCACTCCATCCTTCTTTATTACAAGTGATGCTCATTTCCTTTGCCCTTCAAAGAGAGGAAACCAATCCTACAGCCCTCGAAGTACTACATGACCCCAGAGGCTGGAGATGCAGCCCACCAATGTGACTGTGCTCCCCAGAATGCAGAAAGAAAGGCAGGACCCTCCTGGCAGCCCCCCTCACCTTCAGGACCCCTCGGTCTCGAGCCGGTGTGATGTCCTCCCCATGCTCAGCGAGAGCCGCCGCCTGCACCTCCCCTTCACTCTTGGTGGCCTCATCAGTGGTCATGGTCTCTTTGCATAAGCCCCGGACCTGGGGAGACACGACACCCACCCCGTCAGCCTGTCAGGACCATGGGAAGTGGTGCAAGAGGAAAGGGTTAAAGAAAGTAAGTGGCTCGCTGTGCTGTGGGGCCAGGGCAGGAAGCTTTGAGCACATCTCAAGCGTACAGAGCGGAAAATCCCTTCCCAGGGGCCACCCCAGCTCTGCTGAACCATAGGGCACAGGAAACCCTGATGTGCAGTGCCCAGGGACAGCCCCTCAGCTTTGTCTGGCCACACCGGTGCGGACGCTCGCAGTGGTCCCCAGACCTCACCTTCAGCCTGGGGGCTACCACAGAATCATAGAATAGTTTGGGTTCAAAGGGACCTTCAGAGCTCATCCAGTCCAACCCCTGCAATGAGCAGGGACATCTTCAAGTAGATCACCTTGCCCACCAAGCTTCACCCATCCTTTCTGGCTCACATAGAACTGAGCACTTCTTGGGCACAGGTGCTAGAAATACAGGTACCAGGTTAGCATTTGCCTTTTGAGGGTCTTTTATACAGTTCAGGACTATTTCCCACAAGGAATCACCTTTTTGTCAGAGACACTGTAATTCGGAAAGCAGCACATCAATCCCAGGCAAACTTTGATTTCTCTTGCCCACCAGAAACACTCCAAAGAGACAGAGCAGGTTCCAAGTCTCAGGCAAGCAAAGCATCCCCCTGCACGGAAAGACCTGAACACGCAGCAAGCATCTTCTCCAAAAACTAAACCCAAACACCAAAAGAATCCCAGCTATTTGGGTGGATAAAGAGAAAATTCACAGCAAGACTCAAAGAAAGTGGAGTTTTTTTCCTGCTGGAGCTCCACACTCCCAACGTCACCACTAAGGTGCCAGAAAAGCTTTTTCGTCAAACACATTCTTTTTCCAACAGTGCCTGGTGAAAAGAGAATTGCCTATGGCTTAAAACCCATATTTCCTGATGATTTCCTTCAGACCATAAGGCTATTTTGGTAGCTGCACTGCTGCGTGACACGTAATCAAGGAAACATGTGATGGAGAATGAAAAGTGATGGGTTTTTTAAGACATAAACCAGAACTATTAAAGTCACTTGAATTGCAAAACGCTCCCATAGTCTTTGGTGTGGAAGCTGATGTTAACCAGCAGGAGAAAACACTCATTCAGGGGGTACGAAAAGAGCAAAGGATGTTTCCAGCTCCAAGGACAGATAAGTTGTGCTGCAAGAAGAACTGAGCTCCTCGCACCCGAGTGGAAAGGGAAGAGCTGGAACTCGCCACCCCCCCCAGCACAGGAAGCCACTGAGACACAAAGAGTCCTGCAATGGAAGAGGCAAATAAAAAAATAAGAAACTACTTGCTGCAGTGCTCAATTATCACAGGCTTTGGGGTAACATGAATGAAGATTTTGTCTGCTGCCTTTCCTAAATAATAAACCTAAATAAAACCACTAAAACCAGCAGCTTTGGTGGAGAGGCTTATTATCTCTGGGTGATGATAAACTGGAAAACAAACCATGGGTTACTTTGGAAGCAGTGTTTTATGAGGGTGCTGAGGCACTGGCACAGGGTGCCCAGAGAAGCTGTGGCTGCCCCATCCCTGGCAGTGTTCAAGGCCAGGTTGGACACAGGGGCTTGGAGCAAGCTGCTCTAGTGGAAGGTGTCACTGGTATTTGCAGTGGTGCTGGGTTAGATGTGCTTTAAAGGTCCCTTCCAAACCAAACCATTCTATGATTTGGGTGCTGATATGGTCTCCAAGCCACCTAGCACCACCATGGCCATCCTTCTGGAGTTGAGTGAGGAGTGGTGGTGCCCATCACTGGCACTGTGGCTCAGGGCTTCCCGACACAGATCCTGCGCAGCATCAGGGACACAAACCACATCCATAACCCATTTATTGTGGTATTAAGGGCCAGGAGGAGCACAAAAGGGGAGCAGCTTGCATAAGAAATTCCACCTCCTAGGAAAGAACCTCCCAAGGTCCACCAAGCAGCCAGTGCTGGGATGCAGAAGATGGATGGGGAGGTGCTGGCTCTGGTTTGCCGGTTGCTAAATCCCACCAAGAGACATCTAAAAATACACCACACGCATCCTTCTCATTATTTTTCTACGTAAGCAATTAGTGGAGTCATCCAGGGAAGCTGGCCAAGGCAGGCAGGAGGGGACACGCTCTGCGTCAGAAGCAGTGGGAGGGATGGAGCCCACAAGACCGGCTATGAAGATGAGGTCCACATTATGAAAGAGCTCAAGACTTCTCCATCCAGTGAGAGCGGCTCCACCTAGGTTAGAGAAAACCCCACGCTGCTCCCACTTATCTCGGGTTTGGAGCAACGGGAGGAGACTGGCTGGGGTCCAAAATCCCAATTAATGTGAAACAAACAGCTGGGGGGGATATCTGCTACTCCCCGAATTTAACCCCCGGGAAGCCAGGGACTGCTGGTGAGAGCCCTGCGAGCTTGCTGGAGCTGTCAGTGTGGATCTTCCCGCTGCAGGACCACGTGTGCCTTGGATACAAGCAGGGATACAAACAATTCATTACCCCGTGCAAAAGCCTCTGGGTATTTCTGACACGAGAAGCAGATCCTGCTCTCCCGTTGTTCTTAGCCACAAGCTTAATGCTGTCAGTCTGTCAGTGAAGCCAGGTTAAACGCTCTGATCGCCCACACTGCTTTATTCCCCTGGGGTCTAAATATGGAAGAGAGGGTGCTGAAGAGTTAAACCCCCTCAGGCTGGGGCGCCCTCTTCAACCCAGACGGGCAGCAATCCTGCAATGCATCAGAACATCACTGAAAGGACACCAAGACAAAAGGAATTTCCATGCACAGAGAATAAAAGCCATAGACAAGGGAGTAAAAAAGTCCAGAGCACCGCCCAGGAAAGCTGCTTTGGGGCAGTTCTGCACAACTTGATTCCCTCTATTCTGAAGCAAAGTCCTTTGAAGGAGCCCGGAGCCCACAAATACCCCTGCTTGAGCTCCAAGCACGGTGCTGGGGTCTGGCCTGTACCTCCAGTCACTGGTCAGGACCCAAAGCCACCAACTCCACCCTCCCCAGGTCACACAAAAGGATGAATTTATTCCTCACTGCTGAAGGAAAGGGTTTGGAGGTTTCATTTGCTTTTAATCAGCCCCCACTCTACTGGATGACCTGAAAATTCAGTGTAATAATCTGTCATTTACGAGTTATAATAAACAAGCTTTGAAATCCAGAGGTTTCAACATCTGGACACAATCTTTTTCAAGTGCAACTATCTCAGCATTAATTAACATAAAAGATATTAAAGTGCTTCTAGCTGAGCAAACAAGGAGGCTTGCGAGTTCAGAAGCCTCCTACAAGTGTGCAACACGCGCTTCACTTGGACCAGCACATCCTGACCCACGGTGCCAGTACACCGCCCCACTAAAGGAACATAAACTCAAAGAATCATGGAACGGTTCATGTTGGAAGGGACCTTAAAGCTCCTCCAGCTCCAACCCCTGCCCCGGGCAGGGACACCTTCCACTAGAGCAGCTTGCTCCAAGCCCCTGTGTCCAACCTGGCCTTGAACACTGCCAGGGATGGGGCAGACACAGCTTCTCTGGGCACCCTGTGCCAGCGCCTCAGCACCCTCACAGGGAAGAGCTTCTGCCTAAGAGCTCAGCTCAGTCTCCCCTCTGGCAGGTTAAAGCCATTCCCCTTGGCCTGGCCCTACAGGCCCTTGTCCCAAGCCCCTCTCCAGGTTTCCTGCAGCCCCTTTAGGCACTGGAGCTGCTCTCAGGTCTCCCCTTCAGGAGCCTTTTCTTCTCCAGGCTGACCCAGCCCAGCTCTCTCAGCCTGGCTCCAGAGCAGAGATGCTCCAGCCCTTGCAGCACCTTCTCATCCACCCCTTCAACTGCTCAAAAGCAACAAGGCTGCATCCATCCTTCTTGCAAATCTGCTGGTTTCCCAAACACTGTCCTACACATTGGCACCAGCAGTTGCAAATATTATTGCTCCCTCTTCCAGATTAAAAGCAGCATCACCACGACTGATACTCATGAGCAGTCGATGCCCATGTGCAATCAAGCTGCCTGCGAAGGGCCAGGCTGCCCAGACTGAGCATCCTCCGGCATGTCCCGTTGTGACTTTATTCCTCATTTTAGCACTGCCACACAGACATTAATTCAGCTGCGGCATCAGATAATTAAACATTTTTTGTCTATTTTTTTAAAGCAGGTGAAACAAAGGGCTTTTCTTGATGTCTTTTTAAGCTGGGCAATGGCTGGTGCCTTCCCCACCTTCATTACCCTTCAATGGTGTGTGGTTTTCAGGCTGGCAGGAACACCAGCGCACTGCATGGGCACTTGCAGAAATGCAGTGGGCACAGAGAACCACAGAATGAACCAGGTTGGACAAGACCTTTAAGAGAAAGTCCAACCTTTTCCCCAGCAATGCCAAATCTATCACGAAACCACGTCACTAGCGGCCCCATACACCTCAGAGCCCTTTCCTCTTTGCACATGCCTTTCCAACGATGGTACCAGGAGGATGCACACCATACAACAGCAACACACACTGCACAAAGATCCACACCATAAACCCAAGCCGTTTAGTTTTGCAGTTCCCTCTCTACATGAGCGCTGCTATCTTCCAGCCTGAAGAAACAGGAGAAAATTCTTATTTTCCGAGCAGAGAATGGGATGCAGATGTCCAACGCCGGGCTGAGGACAGACAGGTATCACACATGCTAGGGTTTCACCAAGCACACGAGCCCAAGCCACGTTTCCTAGAAATCAGCATACCGGGAATTTGCCAGCTCCAAATGGAAACTTTCTGCTGCAGATCCCTGCCAGAGGCTCACCCGAGGGGAAAGCAGCAGAAAGGCTGGGGAGGGGTTTGAGGGCTCTCACCTTGCCACCATGCGATCGCTGGAGAACGTCGGGAAGTCCAGGAAGGGTCTGGATGTGCGCACCCAGAAGAGGCAGGGTGAGGATTTCACACCAAAACCTGGTAAAGAAGACAGGAAGTAGTTAAAAATAAGACAGTAACATAAAAAACCCACATACACTTTAT